CTGCGCAGGTGATGTTCTACCCTGAGAGAGACACAGTACGGGACGGACGCAGTGCAGTGGTGTCAGTTGCCCTGTGGTTGCTGATGTTGAGTTTGATCATTTGGTTAAGGTGTTATCTGTCAGATTCCTCCATTGTGAAAGTACCTTTTTCTCCCTTTGCCATACTTACCTATGAAGTGATACCTTAGGATTATATGAATATCCTATATTCCCTGCCCAGATTCACCCTGTGGTTTTAGGATACATTGAGAATTCTTAAGTTGATTATTACTGTTACGGTGATATTCATTTTATTAAAATCCAGTTTAATTCAGTGATATCTGCTCTCTAAATCCCCCAAGAGCCTTCATTCTAAATATTCAAACCAATAAGCATCTTTATTAAATAGGAAAATTTGATTGACCTAAATAAAACCAAATCTAAACTTCTCCTGGTTATTTTGAAATTCATCATTTCAGCTCTTCTCAATAGAGTTTTTATGGGCTTTAGAGCGACTATATCTACATAGGCCTTAAATTTTAGGACAAAAGCACAGGTCACCACTTCTTGCTACTAAAATAATTGTTTATTATTATTTTTTGTCACTTTTGTGATAGTTAAATGGCCACTGTTACAAAACGACAATAAATAATAAATTGGCAAGTCCTTATTCTCTAGTGATAGTGCAAATTTACCTTAGCATTTTTAGGTGAGATAGTGTAAGTTAATGGCTAAAGAATGAGAGCTTTGGAAGCTGACCTAGATGTTAAACCTAAGTTTAATTTTTAGATTTTAATCTGTGTCCCATAACCACTTGGAGGTCTGGTGTTCTCATCTGTAAAATGGTAACAATAACAACTGTATTTACCTTATAGAATTACTGTGAGGAGGAGAAGAGCTAACAGATGTACAGTACTTACTAGCAAAGTGCTTAGTAACTGGTGTTCGTGGTAGTGAAGTTCATGCTGATTGTTATTTGTACTAGGGATCCATATAAAAAATAACACGCAAAATTATGTGTTTAAGCACTCGGGACGCTTTGTTTTTGAAAGGTAGCCAAGAACATTTTGAAGGTTGTTATACTTAATGTGTTCTCAGGTATTAAGAGAAAAGATCTTTTAATTAAATTTTTCCTTCAAAAACATGGCCAAGTAAAATGGAATTTTTCTAATTTAGCACCCCCGCCCCCATACCTTCCTGTTCCTCTTTACCCCAGGGAAGTGCATTGGTCGGTCCAGGCTTGTCCAAAAATCCCTCACTATTGTACCTTCCTCCCCAACCCGTTTGGCACCAGTGGGAAAGCAAGCAATTTTCTGCCATCTATTCTGCCTGTGACCCAGGGTTGTGATGGTGACAGTGCTGAGTTCCTCCTGCTACCCCCAGAGCCCATATTGCCCCCGTCAGACTGGCTCTGCGTTGAGGGCCTCTTGTCGCTCACCACGTCTCCAAAGCCCCCGCATACTCATCAGGCATTTGGGAAACAAGGTCACCACTCCTGAAATATGAGGTGTTTTATAATCCTGTTATCTCTCTCTGGCTCAGAGGGGAGGGAGTTTATGAATTTTTGGCCAAGATTTTTTTATACCTTTCAAACTAATAGGATAACCTTCCATCATAGTGACAGTTTGAAGAACTTGATTTATAGGTGCAATAGGCTTTTATTTAAAGAATGTATTCACATCAGCAAATAATACCACATCTGATCATTCTCTCTCCTGCTGGGAATGGCTAATGATATATGAAAGCAAATGTTCAGTCACTTTGTTTACAGTAATATTCAGCCTGTCATTCAAAAAACTTTGTTTTTCTTTAGTATCTGGATGACTGCCCTTTACTCACCAAATGCAAATGCAAAGTAGAAAGTATATGTCATTAACTTGAACTCTAATTTTGTAATGAGACATATGCAAAACTCAATTTTACATAGCACATAAATAACTGAAAATGCAGCAAAAGAAAAATTGACACTTTCATGATATCCTAATTTACAAAGCATCCTTACATATATTATCTCATAACCTACATTTCTATAAGATAATCAGGACACATGTTTTCTTCATTTTACAGAGAAAAGAGCCAAGTCAGTGTTCAAGTTCATGGTTTCACCAGTTACTAGGTGACCTTGAATAGGTCTCTAAATCACTCTGCAAGTGCTTTCCCCGTAAAACAGCATTTAAATAGTGCCTACCTCCCGGGTGTGTGTGAACATGAAATGAGTTAATGCGCATAAGGTCCATCAGCTGTTATTACCACACACAGTAAATGCTGGACTTAGACCCAAATCCAGTCCTTCTGACTCCTAGTCCAGAGCTCTTTTCATAGTACCATGTGGAATTTGCCTCTTAGTAAATCATTGATTTAATTTCTATCTCACATTGACCTTGTTATTCTGGAAGGGATCTTTTTCTACTTTGTTTCCTTTGACCTTACATTTCTGAAGATCAAGAGGGAAATGTGTTTGAAGGAGTCTTCCTTCCCGTTTTTGTTTTTGTTTTAATCCTCTGGTTTCTATTGTCCTGTTGGTTTGCTTGACCTAGAGGTATCTACCAGAAGGTGTTTTAGTTGGTGAAAGTATCATAAAGCTGTTTTCATGAGTGACTTGGGGTGTTTCTGGTGTATTTTGTTTTGGTTGGAAGGACTTTTCATCTGATGCCCAAGTTGAAACCAATGCAGGATTTAATGTGGGAGATTGTAGAGGGCGGGCAGTGATGTGCAGGAAAGGTGCAGTCAGCCTGGTGGCCTTCCAGAGGCAAGGAGCTGGAGACCGCCCCAGCTCACTGATCGCACCCCATCCCCAAGCTCACCGAGTGTGCCCCAGGCCATTTTTAAAAATCCTCGCCTGAGGATATTTTTCTATTGCTTTTCAAAGAGAGTAGAAGAGAGGGAGGGAAGGAGAGAGAGAGAGAGAGAGAGAGAGAGAGAGAGAACATCAATATGAGAGACACATCGACTTTTTGCCTCCCGCACACACCACGACTAGGGCTGGGGAGTGAACCAGCAACCGATGTACATGCCCTTGATCGGGAATCGAACCCACGACCCTTCAGTGTGCAGGCCGATACTCTAACCACTGAGAAACACTGGCCAGGGCCCTAGGCCTTTTTGATGTGCCTGTGCATCGTGTACACAGACAGGGTTCTTCCAAGAACAAGATACCCAGTGTGCCCCTCAGGACCTCTGTGGAAGGAAGATCACTTTAACCTGGTGAGGCAGGAGGTTTGAGAGCACATGCCAATACCTCCTCTTGGTGATTTTTGCATTTTCTAACTCACTCATCTCTAATATTCTCTTTGGCAAGTGGAATTAATGTTTTCACATTAAATGAAAATACTGAATTTTTAACAGATTCCCTGGGGCTCGGTGCTCGTTTGATACTATTTCTGGAAGAGAAATGACATGAAGAAATGATGTATTATCTTTTCTAGTTGCACAGTTAGGTTTTATTTTTCTTGCCTGGCCACCTGCTGAATCCTCTGACCCATCTAGCCTGGGAGCAAAGCCCAGAAAACAGCTCTGGGTCCTACCACATAGGCAGCCTCCCTCTGGCATCCACATACCCGCTCCTGTAGGCTTGGTGTCCCCCTTGTTTGGTGGCTACTACTTGTTGCAGTGGTCACTCTTGGTGTGCTGGGTAGTACTTGATCTCTTTCCTGTTATGTTTACTTGGATGCTCTGTATAGTAGATGAGGAGTTTGGAAAAAGGATTTTAAAAAGAGCACCCATTATTCATTATCCACTGCCAACGTTGTTACGTGCTGCCCAGGACTCCAGAGAGCTTTGCTTCTAGGCCAATTAATTAACGTCTTTGATGTATGAGAATCTTCTGAATATGAGGGTTCTTATCTCTTCCACTGCTTCCATCTTCCTGGCACGCAATGCATCAGAGCAGAATTGTGTTGGTGACGGTCTCTTTTGAGGTCAATAGCAGGACCGGGAGTGGAGGCGACAGCTGAGAGACTTAGCCAAGCTAGCGGGGTTGTAGAGAGGTTGTAGAGTTGAATGCTCAGGCTTAGACTAGCTCATGATGGGCCCTTGCTCAGCTGTCATTTGTGAGTGCCAGTGTGGCAGCAAGTGTCAGAGTTGGCCCCTTGAACATCTGTTGTCCTCTTTGAAGTCTCTGCTGATTCTCCCAAGTCAGAACCCTTACTCCTCTGAGGTCCCAGGGCATCTTCTGTCTCCACTCATCTCCCTCAGCTTTGTTGCTAGTAGTTCACTGTCTACATGTCTGTTTCTTCTACTGAAGAAGTCTCTTGACAGCAGAGACCTACGCTCAGCTATCTCAGTTTTATCATAATTTATAGGTTGTGTCCCACTTGTCAAGTTGCTCAGTCCATCTTGCTGAACTGAACTGAACTAAGCTGGCTGTGTCCAGGGAAACCCTGCCGTTAGTGTCCTGTTTATAGATCATGTGCTCCGTCATGAGACAGGAGAGTATCCTTGGCGAAACAGAGCGTCATCAGAAGTAACACACTGGCCTGTTGTGTGGTTTTGGTTTTTGGACAAGTTTTGTTGAGATATAATTCACACACCCTATAGTGCCTCCGTTTAAAATGTATAGGTCAGTGGTTTTCAGTATGTTCACAGATGCCATCACTACAATTAATTTTTTAAAGCTTTCATCATCCCAAAAAGAAACCCTGTACCGATTCCCTCCAGCCCCGCAGCCCTAGGCCACCACTAATCTATTTCTTGCCTCTATAGGTTTGCCTCTTATGGACATTCCATGCACATGGAATCATACAATATGTGGTATCGTGTGCCTGGCTTTTTCCCCTCAGTGTGATGTTTTCAAGGTGCGGCCATGCTGCTGCACGTATCAACCTTAAGGCAAGGTGGTGTGTATAGAGCACCTAATACAATGCCTGGCAAGCGAGGGTCTCAGTAACTGTGACTTCCCTGTGTCCCACTTCAAGTTCTTAGCTTTTAGTAAGAATTGGCCAAAGTAAAGCAATAGATAGCGTTGTAAGTGGTGTTCTGAGTTCAGTGTACTGATTCCACCCTTTGTTTTTGTTCTCCCCAAGGCTATGCCTTTCTGCTGTTCCAGGAGGAGAGCTCAGTGCAAGCTCTGATCGATGCCTGCCTGGAGGAAGACGGGAAACTGTACCTGTGCGTGTCCAGCCCCACCATCAAGGATAAACCGGTACGTAACAGGCAGCCAGCTGTTGCTTTTCTAGAGCACATGTGCCATTGTAATGGGAATGCTGGTAACTGGGATCCTCTTACCCGGGGTGACCTTGCTGTGCAGTGGAGCTGGACTGTCATTGATGGGACGCTAATAACAAATTACTCAGTATTTCGTTTTATACCTTTGGGACCGCATG